TTTTTTTGGTTTTTCGAGACAGGGTTTCTTTGTAGCTTTGGAGCCTGTCCTGGAACTAGCTCTTGTAGACCAGGCTGGCCTCAAACTCACAAAGATCTGCCTGTCTCTGCCTCCCGAGTGCTGGGATTAAAGGCTTGGGCAATCACCGCCAGACCAGAGGAGGTTTGAATAAAGAATACTGATGGGGCAGGAGAGATGGTTCAGTGGTTAAGAGCACTGGTTGCTCTTCCACAGGACCTGAGTTCAAACCCCCTACACCCACATGGTGGCTCACAGCCATTGGAAGTTCCAGTCCCAGAGGAATTTTCTGGACTCTGAAGGCAACATTGGTGCACAGAAATACATGCAGGCAAACACCTATGCACATAAAAGTAAAGATTAAAAAATTTAGAAAGAATACCAATATGGGCACTGTGAGGATGCTATGTGTTTTGTTTGGGAAACATTCCAAAGTGTGTGTGAATTCCAGGTGTTGTTTCTGATGTCATTCAAAAGAACAACCCACCAGTTATGGGGAACAACAGTTTGGGACAGTTTCCTGCCTGTCTTCACCTGTTAGTGAACAGCAGGACTCGGTGGCCTGCCAGCCACGGTGGGGAACAGCTTTACAGTGTTCAGTTTTGATGGAAGGGGTTGTTCCTGGAATCTGATTACAGTCGGGAGGTGATTGAAGACTGACCTGCAAATTATGGGAACTGGGCGATTTCTCTTAGCAAGGAGCTCTTGTTACAAAGAGTGACTAAAATCTGCAAGGATTTTATCGGTCGACACTACCGCTTCTCAAGACTGGATGCCACTGTGGTGGGCTCTGCTTGGTGGCCGATTGGTCGCACCCGCCTGTGGAATAAATGCTTCCCAGCTCTGTGCTCCACTAGCCACAGAGGACCAAGGCTGCTAGGGGTTGTCATGAGATGTGACACAGCAGGCAGACCTGCTAAGTCAGAGGTTCCCCCAGAGAAGCATTAGGGCAGGTCTTGAAGACAGCGACTGGGGGCCGGGAGGATGGGAAGCTGAGCGCAGACTGTGGGGGACATGGGAGCAACCCTGATGGTTTCCTCTGCTTGTTTTGTGGCAGACTCCATACCATGGCCACTGCAAGCTAGCAGAGCTCAGCAGCGTGAACTGGAAAGGGGACAGAAGGGTTCTTCAGAAAAGTGCAGAGCATGTCCACTCCAAATGCTAGAGTCCGGACCAGGGCTCTGCACACTGCCTGGGAACCGAGCCTAGCCCAATACTGTTTTCCCAAGTGGCAGTGTGGTAGGACACAATCATACCCACTCACCTATTCTGCGTGAGTCTGGCAACAGCCAAATTGTGGAGCTGTGACAGAAAACATGAGGCCTGCACAGCCTAAAGTATTTACTCTCTGGCTAACTGCAGGAAAAGTCTACCCACTACTGTTACGGCTGTGGTAAGACAGATACGTAAAGGCAGGGTTGAGTTTCTTAAAGTTGGTCTTTTCTCTCTCTCTCTCTCTCTCTCTCTCTCTCTCTCTCTCTCTCTCTCTCTCTGTCTCTCTCTCTCTCTGTCTCTCTCTCTGTCTCTGTCTCTCTGTCTCTCTCTCTCTCTCTGAGACAAGGTCTTATTCAATAGCCTAGGGTGGACTTGAATTTGCCGTAATCTTCTTGCCTCGGTTTTCTGAGTACTGGGATTACAGGTGTGAATCAACTCTCCTGCCTCGGTTTAACTTTCATTACAGATGTGTTTAAGACATAGCTCACTGCTGTCCATCCCTGGAGATTTAACTCTTGCTTCTCAGGGGCCCCTTGCATGCATTCTTGTTTACCACCGACTCCTCCAATGCCCTGCACGGACCGTTCTCCCTGCCCTCTTCACCCTCCTAGAACCTTTGCTCTGACCTGTTGTTTGCTGCGGTCTCAGAACTGACAGCAGGGCCTTCTCTGGTTCTGTGCTCCCTGTCCTGAGAGCCTGACACAAAGCAGGCGCTCAGACGCTTGACTGGGGGCACGGAACTGTTAGCCCCTTATCGGGATAAGCCGTTCTGTTCACTATTGTGGACACAGTCAGAACCGGATCACTTTCAGTCCTTTTGAGAAAGTACAAGAGGCTCCCATCGCCAGCTGCCCCATGACACATGTTCTTGGAGACATCACAGAGCTTCCCCGGAAGGCTTTCTGAAGCAGACAGTGAATGAAGCCATGTTTATAAAGTGCTTGATCACGATGCCTGGTGCTTAGAAACTCCTCACTAGTAGCAGTCGAAGCGGCAACATAGTGGAAATACAGTCACGAACTTAGCCTTGCAAAACTATTTAACTCCCCCCCCCCCTTCAGCCTCCACTCTGCCTCAGCAAGTCTTCATGCTGCTTGGTAAAATTCAGATTCCCGGGGCTGGAGAGATGGCTCAGAGGTTAAGAGCACTGGCTGCTCTTCCAAAGGTCCTGAGTTCAATTCCCAGCAACCACATGGTGGCTCACAACCATCTGTAATGGGGTCTGGTGCCCTCTCCTGGCCTGCAGGTGTACATAGAGTCAGGATGTCGTATACATAATAAATAAATAAATAAATATTTAAAAAAATTTCAGATTCCCTAAGCATCTTGTCCTGCGTGCAGCAGCACCATTTTGTGGTTACATTAGGTTATGACATAGTACATGATCACTCCCAAGTAGTCAGAGGCTGTTTGGGTGCTGTTTGCCCCATCCTTCCTCTTATCAGCATTGATCTGAACTAGACAATGCCAGGCTTACCACGCCATCCTGCTGAGAGAACACACTTCCCTAGGTTTCTGCTTCTTGGGGCTCACCTAACCCCACAACCCTTCACTCTTAATCTTAGATCAAGCAGGTTTGACACCATGATTGTGCACAAAATCAAAACATGTTGCTTTATGGTAAAGCTGCTGGGTTAACAAAACAAGTGTCTACCCCGCACCATCATGCTGAAGTTAGGTTTCAGATTCTGATAGTGATTTTACATTAAGTTGCTGTGTCAGGTCACACATACTCTATGAATGTCTGGGAATTACATTTCACCAGGCAACA